AAGCTGCCAGGAGGCCCTTGGGCTCCCACCCAAGCAGGGGGTGGGGGCCAGGCCCAAGCACATCTGTGAGTGGGAGGGAAGAAGCCGGATTTTTTGCTTTCCTTCTCCACTGTCACCAAGGGAGACCGTTGTCTGGCCCCAGAGGCCGTCGGTGAGGTGAGCAGTGGGAAAGTACAGGGCACTGATGGGGTGGTGAGTACAGGCTCCTGAGCCATTCCCCCGCCCTCCACCCATCCTCTGAAATGCCCTCTAGAGCATGTATACCTCTAGGGGTGGGGGGTGTGCCATTGTCCCTGCCTCCAGGAAGGCTCCCCTGACCAGCCCCTCCACCAGCCCGTGCACGTGTGTGTGTGCACGGACACACAGGCTTCCCCAGGGAGGTCTGTGTGCCACACATTACCCCATCTCCACACCCTCCTCCACGTACCAGCCCTCAAGCTGCCTCCCAGTTCTCTAAGCCCACCCCCTGCACTTGCCCTGCCTGTCTGCTTGGTCTCCCACACTCCTCAAGGTGTCAGAGCATGAACAAATGTCAAAGTCTGGCCTTGACAGGGTCCAGGGCTTTGGAAGCTCAGGATGCAGACCACCTGCTTGTCCTGAGTGTCGATCCCAGGGCAGCCCCTTAGGGTATCAGGGGGAAAGGGAGGACCCTAATGTGGATCTGTTCTGGCTGCAGGGGTCCTGGCTAGGCAGGACCCGGAATCCTGGAAGACCAGAAGGATGTTCCCAGAAGCCCCAAGGAAGGAGATGCTTGGGCAGAATGAAGATGGACGAAGGGCAGAACCTTTACATAGATGGATGGGAGAATAAGAGGCCTTGTAATCTTTTGACCGGGTCCTCCACAACCCTATCACTTGCTCACCTGGGAAACTTAGAGGCAGGTGAGGAAACAGGTTCAGACTAAGATTCCTTAAGGCCAGATGCCCAGTGTGTCATGACTGGACCCCATTCTGTCCTGAGAAGGCAGCGCAGTTCCCCTCTACTTGCACTCTCCATGTCAGCCTCTGGGCCAGGAAGGCCAGCCTCCCCATCCCCCAGAAGTCTGAGGCAGCCAGACTCCCAGGCATGGACCACCTTCCATCCCTGGAGGGCACAAAAAAAAACAATGACCTGTCCCCTGCCCAGGTCTCCAGCCTTATGCAACAGGGGTAGAATGGGAGAGTTGGCCCCTACAGAGGTGGTCACCTGAATGGGGTGGTCAAAGGCTGGATTCTTGGGTTTGTGACCCTGCCTGGGCTGGACTGGGGAGGCAAGGTTTCCTGGAGGATGCAGGGCTTGAACAGACAGAGAGGAGAACCTTTCCAATCGGAGGATAGAGCCTGAGGCTTTGAGGAGCCGTGAACAGGTCTGGGGAGGGCATGGCTGGCTGACCCAGGGTCAGTGTGTTGGGACATGGGTTGGGGTAGTCAGAGACAACAGGGAGGCTTGTGGTCCTCCCTGACCTCGTGCCTTTTCCAGCCCTCTTCTCTCCACACGCATGTGCATTGTCCTCTGAGGCCAGACAGGAAGGAGGAGAAAGCCCTGCCTTCTTACCTCTGGCCTTGGCCAGGCTCCCCTGGGATTGCTGGGCAAGAAGGCTTCCTCAAAAGAGGAGCTAAGACCCCAGGCAGGAATGTCTGGTCTGAAGCTCCTTTCTCTCCCCCTCCCACCGTACCAGACAATAGCCCATCACCATCAACATCCCCCCTCCATGTGTGCCCCCCACCCAGCCCCCAGTACAGCTGGTTCTTATGGATTTTGAGCTCTTGGGAGGATGCCACTTGAGGCATAAGAAGGGCTGTTATTCTCAGCAAAGCAATGGCTCTCATCCTGGGTTTCATTTATTAATTGGACTCTAATGAACCATCACTAATTGCTGATGGTGCTACACCACTATAGGTGGGCCTCGATTTAAGGAACAACCGACTCTGGAGCACTGGAGGCCAGCCAACTCCCCGTCCACATGGGCATGGCTGCTCCCCCCCAACCCCCACCCTGTACCTTCCCACAGGGGGCGGGTGCTGCCCTGGAAATCAGAAACAAGCACTCCGGTAGAGGGAAAATTCTTTCTACAAAACAAGAATTCTGCTCCTCACTTTCCTACCCATACTTCATCTGAAATAATTCCATTGTTCTCAGGGGAGCCCCTCAGGGTCAACCACGCACCCCTCTCCATGCTCAGGGAGGCAGCAGGGCAGGGGGATTCGGTCCATACAACCCAGGGCAAAACCTCACCCCACAGAATTTTGTGATGGGTGCAAATGCAAAGCCAGACTCAAGCTCCAGTCTGTTGGGCATGGTCATACCCTGCATCCTCTCCCAGGGAGGATTTCCTGGTTTTCTAGGGAAAACTTTTCTCTCCATGGAAGCAGGAGGTGGTGCATGGGCAAGTGTTATCTGCCAGCCTCTGGAGTGTCCAGCTGCGGTCAACCCTGTGGCCTAGCTTGGCGAGGGGCCCAGAGAAACATCTTCTTAGGAAGGGAGAGGGTACAGCTGGCTAGGAAATACCATGGCCCTACGGGATGAAATGATAGTCCCTTGGCAAGGTATAGGCCTGGGTGAAACAGCCCTGGGAGGTCTCTCCATGACTTGAGATCCTTCTTGATCACTCTGAACACCCCCTCTCTGAGTATCAACTTCTCATGGATGTAGCCTTAGCACAGGAGGAATGTGGACAGACATATAGGTGAACTTCCCAACCTCAGGAGAATGACCTGAATCACTCTCATTCTTGTCTCTGGCCTAACTTGTATGGTGTATGGTCCACATTCTGAGTCTGGCATCTCAGACATAGAGCCCTGCCTCCTGCCCCCTTCTCAAGAGACCAGCCTTCCCGAGGGGCCCAAATACCCAAGTGCTGGCTGGGGTCTGGAGCCTGCTCAGTCGCCCTCTGCCTTGGGAGACTGTGGGCAAAGGACAGGTGGGTATTATCTGTTTAGTACCCCCACCACACACACACACACACACACACACACACACACAC